GTGCTCTTCCGACCAAGTTCAAGAAACAATGTTTAAACATGACAATATTTATGCCATGGCTTTTAAATCTGGAAAATTAACGTCAAATCATTTTGAAATGTGGTTAAGGGAAGTTTTATTCCCGAATGTTGATCCTAAATCAGTTTTATTATTAGACTCATGGACTGGTCATTGTTCTGACGTAGTTGCAAGAAATAGACCGGAATCAGTAGAAAATTTTGTTACCTTAACTATATCAGTTGGAACAAATCAGAAAACAGGTCAGATACAACCGTAAGATGTATTCGGTTTTAGATTATAGAAAAATTTTATAAAACATTTTTCGGATATGGTCATGCTTCTAGATTTAGAAATTAAACTTCATTCAAGAGATTCTATTTTGAAACTACAATTATTGACACATTTTCAATTTTCATCTCCAAGATTTTAAAATTTATTTCAATATGCTTGGCATAAAAGTGGTTATTAAATCAGATGAATTTGATACACCAGTCAATTTTTGTTTTAAAAAACATTCAAAAGCAGCATGCGATATTTGCGGCAATATTGCTATAACTTGTGTATGGTATAAGCAATCTCTTTGCATAAATTTTTTTTATGATCATATTTGTAATCAGTTTGAATATATATTATATAATATAATATTATATAACATAAATATTATATTTACATTATTTGTAATTTTATTAATATTACTTCATTATATTATTGTTATTATATTATATTTATGTATTATATTATTGTTACTCTAAAAGACAATAATAATAATAATAATAATAATAATAATAATAATAAACAATGTTCTTAACACAATTTTGTGATTTTACTGTTTTATTTATACGATAAGTTGTAAAGATGTATTCACTTCTTGTTATGCACAATTAAATAATGTTAATAGTAAAGATTTAATTAATCTTCTCCTTATTTCACCTTTTTTCCTTTCTGCGATTTCGTTCTTTTTATATATATATAAAACCTGGAAGTTAAAATTATGTTATGATAATTACAAATTTCGTATATTTCTATTTCATTATTTATTTCAGTATTTACAAATCAAGCATATTTACCTCTATCTTTAATCATCGTTTTTAATCATCGTTCAAAAACATCGTTTTTAATTGTAGTTATGAACGATAAAAAGATTATCATGTATAAACAATTCATTAGGATAACATTTTAATTATTTATGATAAATTTTATCTAAACGATAAGTTACTGTAGACATTCTATCGATATTTCAACGATTAAAATTGTTTTTATCAGCTAATGATAGAAAACAATAGGAAACGATAACAATTTCTTTCGGAACAGAGAAAGTAGAACGATAAATACGATAGGACACGATAAAATATTTGTTAGATCCTATATTAGTTCTTATCGTTTTCTATCGATTTTTTTTAACAGAGAAACTACTCGAACGAAAATATTTCTGTGATTAGACGTAAACAGACTGTTTCCGCAATAGATTTGTTTATATCGATTTAACTTGACACTTGTATAACACTCAAATGCTTCGTAAGCGTTGTTCAGCCGTGCGCGATAAAAATGATTCATAGTTATACATCCGCAGAATATTGTGGAAATAGATTTGCTTTCATCGTTATCCCTTGTTAAATGCAAAAATGCGAGCAGAACGTGCTGCGTGAAGAATTGCTGCGTGCACGCCGCGTAAACGAGCACGGATGGTGTGCGTATAGAGGCATTTATAATTATTTCTTGAAAATGATACTTCGGAAAACAACTTGTGTCACACATGGTTGAATTCGTATAAAAATAATCTTTAATTTGATAAAAAAAAATTTTAAAAAAATTTTTGGTGGTGGAGATAAACAAAAAATGAAGCAATAAAAAAATTATTTTTAATTATAATTAAAAATTAAGAAGTATCAAATAAAGGGCTAGTGAGCCTTGCACGAAGTTAGTGCTAAAATTACATATATTTAACAATAATAATTATCACCCAAACGTTTCGGCTCCACATTGAGCCATCTTCAGTGGGTAAAAATACAA